CTGGGGGATTCTGGGAGTTGAAGTCCACCCATCTTAAAGTTCCCAAGGTTGAGAAACACTGCTGTAGATGGACTACTTGACACAGATGTGGGGTTGCATATTACAGAGGGGAGCCTCTGCACACAGAGCATGGGCATCGACATATATCAAAAGAGATAGCAGAGATAGAGGTGGGGCACTGACCTTGATCCCATTTTCCCCTAGGCCATTGCCCCACAAAGGGGTACACCCCAAGAGAGTCTAATTATGGCTTTTCAAGAAGCTCAAAAGGACAATCCCAAATTAAGAGACTCCCCAGGCTTCCAGCTGGACGCAGAAACAGCCCAAGGCGTGAGAGACTCTCAGCAAAAGACACTTTGGTGGACCTCCAGCAACAAGCTGAGTTGCTGGTAGACCCAATACACTCTTTGGGTGTTTCACAACATTCCAGACTTTGTGGGGATTGTGGTCCTATGGCAAATTAAAATTTTGAGTTCTGAAATGCCTATTTTTTATATCTTCAGAGCACTTCACAAGGATCAAACCATGACTCCTCAGATCTCTATGTTTTTCTAAGTTTCAAAGCAACCCCAGTGGTGGCAATGATGGGAGAACTTCCTAAACTGATGAGGAAAAGGGAGAAAGGGAAATGTTTCCCCCTCCCCCATTCTCTCTTCAACTAAATCTTGGGGAGATCAATTTAAGCAGGAAAGCATGGGGCAGGCAAGAGACTAATTCTCATTTTCTCTAGCAGACCTTCCCTAGACAAACAGGAGAAGAAATTATTCAGTGATCAAAATCCTGTATCTTCTCCATCATGGGTGGTGTAGTTGGTGTCTCTGGTTCAAATCCCAAAATGATTCTTTAGCAACCCCTTCCCCTGTTCTACAAGAATAATAAGATGGACCTTTCTTGCTGGACTTTTTGAAAGATTGTGAGATGACATAAGCTAAAGTGCATGACAAACTCTGTGTGGTTTGGAGCTCAGACTTCTGATTCCTACCTGTTGAACAGCAGCATTTCCCTGCTATCACACTCCTCCAGCCAGGAGTCCTTCAGATGCATTTAGGACTACAGTTGCAGACAAATCTAGAAGGTACCAAACTGGAGGAAATTGGTTGGCCTAAAATACGCTACTGAAATGAAGTAGACCTGGGCCAACAAGGAATAGAGTTTTGCTTAAAAGGATGGTGATAACTGCAACTTCCAAGGGTTTTTCCTCACTGCTGAATTCAAGTGCTATCTACCCAGCCTTCACTTGGTAGAAATTTTGTTGAACTGTTGTGCAATTTTCTACCCACATTGCCAATCTCTATCCTGCCTCTAATGCATCTGTTCTAAGCCACTGCTACAGGCACTGTTGTGGTTTTGGATGATGGAATGGGATAATGAAGCCAGTCGGTCAGTTCCTCCAGTTTCGCTGCCCTCTTCTGCATGACTTCAGCTAGAAAAAAAACCTCTGCCATTTGCAGAGCTGCAACAAGAATGGGGCAGCTCTGGCTGAAGGACTCTGTCAAAGTTCCTTCCTGTGTCCTTTTCTGACCCCCCATTCCTTCCTAACCCAAGCTGAACAAAATAAAAAATGAACAGAGCAGGGTCACAAAGGAAGCTGAGTCAGAAGCAGCTCTTTTACTTAGGAGTTTTCTTCCTTTCGCTATACAGGCAACAACTGCCATTCCAGGAAGGCAACACATGGGGATGTGGCTGAAAAAAGAGGCTGAGTCTTTTGTGTCTCAGTCAGATGCATGGAGAGAAAAGCCTGGAGTGTGTATCTTTGAATATAGAAGGATATTAAAGTTGTAGTGGTGTTGGGCAGGAATCTGAATTGGCTTTTCCTTGCTCTAAAGCAGCGTTCCTCAACCTCAACAGCTTTAAGATGTGTGGACTTCAACTCCCAGAATTCCCCAGCCAGCATGGCTGGCTGGGGAATTCGGGGAGTTGAAGTCCAGACATCTTAAAGCTGTTGAGGTTGAGGAACACTGCTCTAAAGCACTTTGTAAATGCTAGATATGAAATGTCTTCAATAGCTAGGGTTTCTGCCACATTTCTCTTTGCTGGAACTTCTGATGCATTTCCATGCCAACATAAACATCACCCACTGGATTTTTGAACGTCAGCATAACTTTAAAGAGAGAGGAGCCCTGGAAGGGACAGGGAGGCATTAAAAACAGGGAATCCTGTTTATACAACTTTATACATTTGGAGCTTCTGGATAAATTTAAGGAAATGAGGTCCTTTCGGATAATAAATACTAAAATGACAGATACAGCCCTCATGCCAAATATTACTGAATTTTGAACAGAGAACTTTATTGCAGTTAAACTGCTTTGCAAATATCTACCTAAACCTAATGATGCAGAGCAACATGATGCCCTCCAGATGTGCTAGACATCTATACCTTTCAACCAGGAGGGCCAAAAGACAGAGAAAGTGCTTCTTGAAGTGTAGGGTGGGAGAAGTTCCAACTTCAGTGTTCCTGCTTTTGTAATCTGTCAGTCATGAATGCAAAACTTCCACTGCATACCTTATGCTATGCCGTAATGTGGTTTGATTTTGGCTTAGCATTCTGTGTAAAACTAGCCAATCAGGCCTGTAACATGTATTTACTGCACTATCTAAACCAGCCAAGTGAATGCCATGTATAAAGTGTAAAAGCATGGTTAAGCAAGTATAAAATCATGGTTAGGCAAGTCATGGCTTAGTGGTATGCATGAGCCCAGAAAATGTCTAATTAAAACAGAAAACCTGTGTCAGTAATTGGTGACCCCCATTCTCAGAATGTTTAACCCTACTAATTATATCAACTTCTACTTTCCAAGGGGTTACTTTAACAGGCAACATAACAGTATGGGAAGGAAAAAATTCAGAATGTTCTTTGATAGCGATCCTATATAGCAGCAGGAACCCGCAGACCTCCAAACTGACAATAAGCCTGCAAGCTTCTGACAGCTGGCTAGGCCCAGCTGTTGTGGAATCCAGTAAAAGCTACAGCCACCCCAACTGTCCTATACCTGCTTACATGAACAAGACCCACTGAATTTCATGGGACTTGTTTCAGAGCAGCTATGCTAGGGTTGCACTGCATAGAGTCCATCTAGCATCCAATTCATTCCATTTCCACATAACATATTGTCCTTAAAATGCTCTCAACTGTTTTTTTTATCTACTCACTGCAGATGAAAACATTAGTAAAAGGTAAATTCAGTATACCTTGTTGCCCTCCCCCCCATGTGCAGAAATTCAGGTAACGTTCAGTAAGTAAACTCCAAATAATCTTAAAAGAGGCTTGGATTATCCTGAATATAGTTTATATTAGTTTATACACTCTAGTTTATAGTTTATACACTCTAAGGACCATGCAAACCTACGTTTGATATCCTGATGAATAACTCCCTTTGAGTGAAGAAATTCAAGTCCTTTGAGGATATGTTTTGTCAGCCAGATGATTTCAAATTCTCTCAAAGGCCCACAACTTTCCACCTTTTCTAGGATAGAGCCTCCTTCTCCCGCCTCCATGAAGAGATGGATTGTCTCATCCCACAAGATCGCTCCATAAAGTTCAGCAATATTTTCATGACGGAAGCAGGCTTGGATTTCAACATCTGATGGCTTGAACTGTTCCACTGGGACCTACGATGCCAAACATAAGCTGATTAAACTGTGATGTCCAAGCAAAGATTGTCCTACTAGAATGCCTGCAGCACTTAGCTTGATGATCTACATTGGTGGGGTGCTACCCCATGTTCACATAACTGTCTGGAAGTGCTAAGGTTATTATGTTGAAACAAGCTACAAGAAAGCAGGTCCAGCAAACATTCAACTGTTTGGGGAAGCAAGAGTTCATTGTTTTGCTTGGCACTGAAAACCCTGAGGCATCACACTGATTTGCATTCAAAAGACCAACCCCACCCTTCCTCTCTGGAGTCCCAAGGAAAAGCTAGGGCTTCTTTTAGCTTCTTTGAGTAGGCAATTCTATCCCAGCCTTATTTAGCTAGAATCGGGGGGGGGGGGGGAATCTTCCTTCGTAGTTAACAATAGACAGAGAAAGCCCAGCACAACTGCATTACCCATCTTCTTAACCACTTTGCCAAAGAATGATGGGAGTATCTAGCATGAAGAAGGGGGATGAGAGCAGGATTGTGGACTATTGATTGAAGTTGTTGCTTTAATACAGCAACTCAGGCAAGGTGTTACAAATAAAAATCCTTCTACATGTTTCTACTGTAAAACACTGAGTGATTAGCAATAGCACTCATACCCTTCAGAAAACTTAGATAATCTCCTAGGCTTACAAGAGTTCCAAGGCAAGATTTATTCTTGTCCTTTACATATTATCTGGTGACTCAGTGATCCTGAAAATACCAGCCAGAGTTTTGCAGGAGTTAATAAACGTGTCCTTACTTCTAAGTCATATGCATGCTGAGATCAGTACACAAATTTTCATATGCAGAAGCTTCCTGTCCTTTTTTATGACAGAATGCTCATAATGTCCCATCCTTTCCCATGGCATTCACAGCTTTAGTTTACTCATTTCTTCTAGCACTATTCCATCTTTCCTCCATGGATCTCTCATTGACAAACCAAGATTATCCAAGTGATATCCTATCTTATCCTGACCAGACTCAATTAGCTTCAGCATAGTTGCTCTTTTATCTACCTCCAGACCACTGTTACCTTATTTATTTATTTATTTAGTTAATTAATATAGCCACCCATCTCACATATGTGACACTTCAAAATTTGTTGACAATGCACATATGGAGTCTTTCCCAAAGAAGAAGAGAACTAGGTAGGCCCTCCTTAGATGGAGCTCCAGACACAGACTTTAGTCTATCATGTGCATGTTGTTTCTATCATAAATGGAAAAACATAGTCTCATTTATTACAGCATTATAGGGAAGGCCCAACCTGTCACAGGCATTACCAAAGACAGAACCTTACCAGCTTGCAAGCCATCCGCTTTTTGGTTTCTGTATCCTGTGCCAAGTACACTTTCCCAAAAGCTCCCCGTGGAATGAAGTCAGTCCCAATATTTCTGTACGTTAGCTTCCAAGGAAATAGCAGCACGTCCGAGTCAATCTTATAGCGCCCATTTTTAGGTTTGATCTATTTAAAGATAAAGGAGAAAATGAAAACAGGATACAGTACTCCCTCATGACCTCCATATACTGAAATATGGATGTGTTAACTGGAATACACATACCTGAATTAACCCATATACGCCAACCTTCTATACCTTTACCTTGCAATGCCTTTTCTAGGCCTTGCATTTTTTCTCCCAGATCTTTCCATTGCAAATTACTAGGGCCAGAGTCTTGGCAGGTAACAGCAGCTACTCTACCTTGGCTGATCTCAGAAGCTAAGCAGGATCAGCTCTGGAGTGTGTCTAGATAGGGGACCACTGGGACGTCTATGGCTGTTGGCTAGACTGGGAAGGAGATAAAGGAATCCCAAAACAATCCCAAAACAAACTATTTGTGTAATGCTGCCAGGAAAAATGCATGGATATGTCCATGCAGTGGCCAGAGCTGAAGCTTGATTCCAAGGCATTTTTACCTTTATCTAGGACAGAAGCTACGCCTTACCTATACGGTGGCAGCAGCCCCAAGCTATAGGTCTGCCTCTAACAGAACACTGCTGATGTTCTACTTTCCAGAACATAGCAGTCTCATGACTACAGCAGTCTTTATATAGAACAATAAAATGGGAACAGCATGTGAAGCATTCAGTTTGTCTTGGAAATATTTACAATTCCAAGTGGTGATTAGCCTTGCATAAAGCATAAGTTGCACTTAATTGTCTGGCAACAACAGCCTGATTGACAGCCTAATCAGCAGGCTTACGTAAGGAGTCCTCCTGGTGGTTTGTTGGTTAATTCTGGATACCTCCTAACCTGTTGCTCTACAGAGTTGTGAGTTTGGCTATGGAAGGTAAGCAAATGCAACATATTCCACCTTCAAAGGTTGCATGAGGGGGTTGGCGGAAGGGGAGAAGCCATTTTTTCCCCAGAATAGATGATGCAGAGAAGATTTAAGATCTAATGATTCATATACTACAATGCCTGAATGGTTCTTTGAAAGTACAAGAATCTCTTTAACCAGGTAAAACTCTCCAAACGAAAACTGACCAAGAGAAAACTATCAGAATACCTGGGGATAAGAAGTAGATTGCTATATTTGATCCGGCCTCATACGCTCTAAAGTGGCTGGGATTTCAATTGCCTCTACACAGATTAATCTCTGTTAAGGAAGTTTAATTATGTTGGAGGCCATGATTGAATTGGCAGACAAGCAAAGCTAGTGTTGAAAAACAGAATGGTGAATAGGTTGGCAAGACATCATTTGGTATGATATCTGATTGGAAACCATTGTGTAAAGTCCCGAAAAGATGGAAAACAAAGCAAAAAAACCAACTAGTTCCATCCAATGGTTTCTCACAATTGTGGCCTACCATCTGGTTTTAAGCTGGGGCTAATATAAACAGTGGTTTGTGAGCTAGCCTCACTTTTTCTCACCTACAAAAATTGACAGGAAATCTGAGGGCAACCTCTCTTCAGGAGGGATGACAAGAAGCTTGAAGATTTTGTTTCCCTGATCTTAATTTCAGCCTGAGTTCTGGAAACCCCATCTTTAATTTGTTTTTGTTAAGAAAACCTAACTTTCTTGTCCTCATGGTTGCAAAATAGCAACCGTGAACAAGGACTGATAAACCAGCAACTATAAATGAGGACTGACAAATATGCTGTCCTTGGTGTCAGATGAACATGCTGTCACTACACCTGATAACTGCATAATTAAAAACATTTAATGCTCAGACTTCAGAGCTTTGTCTTGGTCTGTATTTTTACACTGAGATTTTTAATTGCATCATGGCTGAGATTTAAGGTTAGGGAATGGACAGTTTATAGATGGAAGGCAGCTTCAACCTAATTTCATGTAGGGTGACACAGGGAGATAACTTTATACATCTCAGAAAGGGGCAAACTATTCCATTTTAGCTGTATGTTCATACCTGCAACTCTCTTTTTAAGAAAGTTCACCAACTTAGAAAATAAGGTCTCCCTCACCAAGCTCAGCTTCTGGCAGCTTCATTGACCCCTCCATGTCATCTTCTCAGCACTAAGTGGAAGGGCTGGGCCATTGCCTTCTTTTGAGTTCCCAGTCTAGCCTACAGCCTGGGATTCCCTTGTGACCCCCCATGCCAGTACTAATCAAGTCCAACCCTGCTTAGCTATTTGAGAGAAGCCGAACTCAGCTAGGTGCTAATTACCACATTGCACTTTGAGATTTGTTCATTACAGCTGCAAAAGGAATCTTAAATCCTAACTAACGTATCTGCTTCCAGAAACCATAGCTCAGCTCAGGACCCAATTTCCTGTATTATATAATTTTCATACCACCTTTTCTCCTGGAGCTTCAGATGGTATCCCTAGGACTCCTTCCCCTCCCTCTTCTTCCCAGCAGTAACTCTCTGGGGCACATGGAGATGAGAGAATGGGTGAGTGGCCCAAGGCCACTCAAGTGAGGTTCAGTAGCTGAGGGGGCTTAGTCCAACACCTTCACCGCTACAACACTCTGGATTCAAACAATATCTAAGTCCCATACTTAGATATTATACAGCCTGATAAGGGTATAGGAATGTCTCTGGTCAAGCAGTCAGCAATGGCTGGTCAGCAAAGTCTTTATCGGCCAGGCCTAAATTGTGAAGACTCTAAATGCAAGCCACAAAACCCGCAGCTTTGAGCCATGATCCATGTGAAATACATTCATGCAGAATGGCAGTTGGAGGTTTTAGAAAAACCACATACCATGTTTAAAATGATCCCAGACTCTTGTCTCCTGTGCCGGCATAACTGCTTTGCGGTGTTCGACACCTGATTGGCGAAAGCAAGCAAGTCTTCCACAGTCCCATACTTAACGCACGACAGCAAAGAAACTTCTCTTCGGCTGAACAGCAAAGATTCAGTCCGTTCTTCATTTTTGTTTTGTTCTGGACACAGAGCGATGAGGCTGTCTTTGTAAACTGTCAGGTCACCGTTGGGATAAAGGTTCTCCATGATGTCAATTACTTCAGACACATTTAAATCTGTCAGCAATAAGTCAATCTCTTCCTTATTTTCACTACCGGTACTCATATACTCCATTACTGTCTGTCCTCTTCCCCCTATTCTACCTAAAAAAAATAGAGTAATATTTCATGGTTGGTTAAGAGATTGCGACAGAGGAAGTACTTTGTATGGGCAACTTACATATCTCTACATTGAAGAAGGGGAAGAAGCAGAACTGTGCAGTCTACATAATCATAAAATGCAAACTAGCACATTTTAAGGCCACGATTCTACCCTGTATAATTGAAGCAAGTCCGCTGAAAGCAGAAGCATTTCAAACAAGCACCTATACCAGTTCTTCCCCAATGTTGTCCTCCAGATGTGCTAAAGTTCAGCTCCTATTATTCCCAGTTACCAAGGTTAAATGTGGCTGGAAACTAGGAGAGCTAAAGTCCAACACATCTGGAAAGCAAAAGCTTGGTGCAGGCCAATGTGTGATCGGGGTATCAGTCTCACTTAAAGCCATGGCATCTTAGCACTGGGCATGATCCAGAGTTACATATGCTGAAGTACCACTGAATTCAAGGGGACCTGCACGTCAACTGTGCATTAAGCAACCATTGGTTTTGAAGGGAGTTCATGCCCTTTTCCAGCAGATAATAAAAAACACATTTAAGTGCTAACAGAAACGCTGGGACTTCCTTCACTCATTGACTGAAATGTGCCTGCCATTCTAGCCTCCCTGCCTTTTATAGTAATTTAGTGCAGGAACCCTCTCCCCAAGGGGAAAAAATGGGGATACTGCATAAAACTGTAGCACAGACTGTAGGGCAGGAGTGTTTGGGATGATCTGCCCCAATGCAGACACTAGTCAATCAGTGCCCGTGATATTCCAGCAGCCACAAATCACACTGCAGGTCCATTAGCAATATTTACAACCACTGGGTAGGTGGATAACAATTTCCTAGACAATAGGTATTACGTTCTTCAAGTGCTGAGAAAATGTGATATCTCAGCAAGCAAAGTGCTCTTTTGTGTTACAAAATCATTTACTGCAGACTAAGGCAACAGCTTGGATTGATCTGTAAACCTGATCAGAGTCATAACCACCCCTAATGCCTGCTTCACTCTGAGGATCAGAGAGCTTTCGTTGCGTGTGAAGCACTTACTATCGTTAAGTAATTTCTCTGCAAAGTGCATTGCAGCAAGTCAAACTGCAGGCTAAAAAAAAGTGCCATAGGAAACTTCCAAAATTTTTCTGCCACAGGACTGAACAATGGTATCACAGAGTTAACTTTCCCTTACATTGTTTCTAATTTACATTTTTTTCTATGCAGATTTTTGACACAGTTTCAGAACAAAGCTGGGGAGGGGAAGTGAACTTACAGGAATCCAAAACTGACATGTCAACTAAAATCACTTCCCAGTCCACAATCAGAAGGAACCTTCCTATTCACAACAGCCTCCTTTAAAAACCTGGAAAAACAAGGATTGCATTATTTTAGACAACTAGATCACTGGAAATCCCCAACACTTCATATCTCTATAGACAATGCTCCTGGTTTTTTTTTTTAAATCATTAGAACAATTTGGCTGTAGAAACACGTTTATTTTCAGATTTTATATTCAAAAGTGCATGTCAACCCAGGATTTCTTCAATCCACTTTTTTCAAGTTTGATATTATTATGCAAAGAACAGAATTTCGAGAAAACAGCCTCTTTTCTGGAGAACTGTACCATTATCCTAAAATCACGTGGCACTGGAATCAGAGAAAGAAAAAGAAAATTCAAGAGAAAAGGGGGGCTTTTGACAGAAAGATGGCTCAGCCAGCACAAATTCATCTGCCCACTTGGGACTTTTAGACCTGATCAAAGGACCTTTCTCTGAAATCGCTCTCATTTTTGTTATTCTATCTATACCTAAAACTACCTTTCCTCAAGCTGAAGGCCAGGTGCCCGCCTCACCTGGATCACGTAACAGAATCACATGTATCTGCGGATGAAAGGATGAAAAACTGGACAGTGACACAAGAGACAGGGAATATGGGTTAACTCCTCCCAAGGTTAGGTGACACCTGATCTCCTGAAGCTGCCAGGCAATGTGGCGTGCATAGCTGCAGTTTCTGGTCCAAGATTTTTATCTTCTTTCTGCTGGCAGGGAGCCTTTGGGTCAAAGCTTTCACATGGGATCAGTGGAAAGCACGCTTACCAGTTCTGTCTCAAGCGTGCTGTGGGGACTAAGAGCTGCCAAACAGCTTTGTCCAAAACGTGAGGACGACCACCACACATTTGCAAGCAGCAGGCAGGAGATCTCAAGGACAGAAAGAGGGAAGGGAGAGAGCTGAGCACGCCTCTCCGTGGCCACAGAGAAACTGGGGAAGGGGGATGTCGCTCACACACTCTCATGGTGCGTTCACCCAGATTGCGTCAAGTTGAAACCAAGCAAGGTGTTTGGGAATCTTACTTTCTCTCTCTCCAAACCACAAAGAGTAGAAAACATTCCAACTTAATTTTGGAATATTTCAGGCCCAGTTTTGGGCTGCCTACATCACTGATGGCTTTATATGCTGAAACAAAATTCATGAATAAAATTGTTTTTCAGCTCCACATTTGCTTCTGAGGGCTGCCTGAAATCTTGCCCAGAGGATTCCTCCATAGCCAGCAAATATTTAAATGTCCTCCACTGAATTTTCCACATGGATGTTCTCTATCTGTACACTGATGGGCTTTGTTCCATTTTTTAAAAAAAATCTTTCAATCTTTCTGCAACTGGAATGTCATACTGGAATTTCCTACGGCAGAGTCAAAGCCTAGGCAAAGTTAAATGCATGAACCCACTGATGAAGCCAAGTTTGGCACAGGTAGGGTTACCAGATATCTGAACAGGCAAAGGAGGACACAGACAATTGGAAAGGAGGGGAAATGGGGGGAAAGGGGGACACAGTGTTTAACTTTCTTGGCATCCGTGACAAAATTTACAATGAAAAACTGCAAAAAAAGTACTTAGGCTTGCATGTATATATAAAATTACTTTTTCTAGCATCAGAAAGATGGGTTTTTCAATTGCAATGTTTTTCCAACAAATCTTTATTTTCAAGAACCTACGCTAGCAATAATGCAGAATCAACAGCAATGCACTTTTCAAATTTCACCATAGAAACATGTGACGAGTCATGTGATCTACAGACTACAATGATCATAGATCTGAAGGGGCTGGATTGAAGCCGATTGCTGGAATCAGGAAATAGTGTCATAAATCTAGGCTGTCGAGTCTTGTCAACGGACAAGGGAAAAAAGCAGACAATTTACAAGGTCACAATACACAAACATCTGAATGATTACTGTTGTGAAAACAGTCCATTAAAAAAAAACAAAACTCAAGACACTCAAAAACCCAGACAATATTTGATTTTAAGGCTATGCCTACCAGAGGGAGGATATCTGGTGACTCAGCCACAGGTTGAATCCAAATAGCTGCCAGTTTCCAAGCTGAAGGATACTGTCTCTGGCTTTAGATATACTTAAAAATAATGTTACCTCCACAGCTACATATAATCCAGCCTGACCAGATTCAAAGTAGATTAGAATTTTAAAAAATGTTCCAAGTCAGCATTTAACTCTTTAGTGCTATAGGTTTTGAAAGGTTTTCTCTTTCACCGAGAACAGTAATGGTTTCCCTAATAATCACAAAAAGTCCCTCAGTGTCGTAACTCCACCTTACAGCCTTTCACACAGTGAGATTTTAGTCACAGTTCAACCAATCAAAAGGCATTCAACAGCAGTTCTTGGGATCTGTTTTCCTCCCTAATGCATTTCCCTGGAAAGAAACATGATGGTAAGTGACACGAAAAGGCACGAGGCTTGTAAATAAAAGAAGGATATCACTTGGGCCTCTGATAAAATAACAGGGCGACTGTGCAATACAACTGATAAAAGGAAGCAGGAAATTATGTTTGGTAATTTTTTGGGTAATGATGAGTGGAAGAGAAGGGTAAGAGCAACTCTTTTACAAGCTCAGTGCTTATTAAGAACCCACAGTGTGTTCTTAGGAAATCTGGACCTGACTGCTGATTGAACCCCAAACTGATACCCAAATATCAGTGCTTGAAATCTTGTTATTTACAAAGTACCTTAAATGCTGAACCCCCCCCCAAAAAATCATTACCCTAATTTAACACTGTATATGCACTGTGTGAATATGTCCTTTTATCCGTACATTATGGCTGACTTCTCTGGTCAGGAATATTCCGTGCTGTTGATTCACGGGTCAGTGATCCATGGCTAGACAGGTGGAGGATCGTGGGAGGACATCCCACATGCTGTCCATCACGCCAGATCATCTCCTGATCACCTTTGCAGTGAATTCCAAACTCTACCCATACAGACCAGAGAGGATAAACATGGCATTGTTTATGCTTCCACTTAGTCCTTAAATGTCTCTGCCTGTATCTTCTTATAATTTCAGGATAATAATGAATACCTGCAGCCTCTGGAGACGGAGAGCTTTACATAGTTGACATCACTCTAATAGCTCTAGACGGGGGAGGTTGTATTACAGAACAACTTCATTTACCACAAGAGACAACTGTGGATCACACTTGTATCAGAATAGAAACCCATGGGGTTGGATTCCGAGAGCAAGGAATGGAATGGGGGTTACATGAGAAGCCTTCTGCCCCCTCTCCTTCCTGTGCTTTGCAAAAAGCCCCTGGATGATTGGTAACCCCTCAGGAATGGGGTGAAAAAGTGGGACATGGAGCAGGGGAACAAAAGCACCTTTCTGATGAGCTGTAAGCATAGGAATTAGCCCTTAGATCAGTGTTCCTCAACTTTAGCAACTTTAAGATATGTGGACTTCAACTCCCAGAATTACCCAGCAAGCAGTCATTCACAGCTGAAGTCCACATATCTTAAAGTTGCTAAAGTTGAGAAACACTGCCTTAGATATTACAAAGTCTATACAGAAGGAGCTTCTGGAAACGCTAATGCCATTTCTTGGAGATGGTATCCCTGCTACAAACTTCCACCATATAATGGACAGGATTCAGCAGGCTATGCCTTGCCAGAATTGAATCAGCCAGTCCAATCAAGAAAGGTCCTGCTGAAAGTCCCCAACTCTCAAAAGTTTGGGGGCCAAAAGGAGAGGGGCAAAGATGGCAGTTGTAATAGGCCCCATCTTATGGAACAGGTAATCCGCGTTTAGCGACCAGAATTGGGACTGGCAACTTGGTCGTTAAGCGAAGCTGTTGCTAAGTGAAACTGCAACTGTGGTTATGATCTTATTTCAGCTTTCCTTTGTTTTACAGACTTGAAAAGGTTGTAAATGCGAGGATTGGTCACAAAGTTACTTTTTCATCACTATTGTAACCACAAATAGTCACTAAATGATGCAGTCGCTAAATGAGGACTACCTGTACTCTCTCCAGAAGAAGTACAGGTAGTCCTTACTTATGGTAACTGGGACCAGCAACTCCATTGCTAAGCGATGCAGTCGTAAACTGCAACACCATGTGACTACTCTGACTTATGACAGCAGTTCTGACAGTCCCAGTTGCCGTTGTTAGGCAAATTCTGTACAGTTGTGGCATCCCACAGTCACACGATTGCCATTTGTGACCTCCTAAGGGCTTCTCCATTGACCATGCTTGTCAGAAGCTGGCAGGGAAGGTCACAAATGGTGATCATGTGATTGCAGGACACTGCAACGTCGTAATTGCGAACCAGTTGCCAAGCAATCATGTGACAGCTGGGATGCTGTGATGGTCACAACTACAAGGACCCATTGTAAGTCTCCCTCATTCAGCGTCATCATAACTTCAAACAGTCGCTGAACGAGTGGCTCTTCAACGAGGACTACCTGTACTTGCAGTGCCCACCTTGCTGCGGTTCCATAGGCAAGTTAACACTGTTTCCTTTCAAAGCCCTTTGGCCACTGGCTGACTGTAGGCACCTCTCTTGGGTTTTATTGGGGTTTTTAGCTTTGCCTTCTAGGGTTATTTTTGGTTCTGATATTGTTCTGATTTAGTGGTTTATTTTTTTTGTTTTCTCTTGCTGAGGTTGTACACTGCACAGAGTCCTTTGGGATCAGGTCAAGTTAGAAGTCCCATAAATCAGTCAATAAACGTTGCTTGTAAAAGTTCTGAGATCTCTAGCTACTGTGTCCCAAACTACAGCACTCAGAATTGTACCAAAAGGGACTGGCCAGATTAAGACAGTAGATCAAGGCTTTTTGAACTACTTTGGCACATTTACTACATAAGTTGCTCCTTCGTATTTTTCATCTCTCTGTTGTTTGGCAGATTGCCCCCAGAATCACAATTACTCTAAGCGAAGACTAATCATCATCACCAGGAAAGAAGCTCATAGGACGTCTTTTCCAAGCATTTCGTTTTTCTCATTCCTTGAATGCACCATGTACAATGTATCTTCTCAGAAAAGGAAGCTTGCCAGGAGGTAGAGAAGCTGTTAGGGAGCTTATTCTAGACAAAAAGGAGGACATGTGACCCTTGAAATGATTTGCACAATGAAGTCCTGAACTAAAGTTAAGGTGATTGCAAGGGCGCTTAGTTGACAATTATTTGCTGCAGAATGGCCTTCCCTGACCAGGTGTCCATGTGGCATGTTGGACTACAACTCCCATAATTCCCAGCCAGCCTGTGGAGGATACTAGATTAGGCAAGTCTGCTCTACAATTTGGACTGGTCAAGACAACATTGCCCAATATGTATACTAAAATGCTGACCACAAGGAATGCTTAAAATGCAGTGAGCTAGAAAAGTCACAGGGTCTATAAAGGTGGCACCCCAATTAACTTTCCACTAACTGATGAGCAAAGCCAATCAGGAGAGGTGTAAACCAGCATTCCTTGGGGCAGAGACAAGTGTTGTGTGTTTTTATGTCCTCGCTGAGTTGAAACATGACCTAATTTTGAAGCAAGTATTTTTCGGTGGCATTTCTCCATACGTTTGATTCATGCAATTCACTCCTATCAGATCAACGTGGCAGGTGATTCAGGATTGGAGCATCCAGACAAACTTGATGCTGGAGTGTCAGGCTAGCAGCATATTTTGCCCACTCCACCCAAAATGCCAGGATGAGGGTTTTCAGAGGATGCCATTCCTCTTTCTTGGCTGGGATGTACTAACACAGGAAAGCAGGAGGGTTCCAGCTATGAGTTTTTCTTGTCTTAGGTGGCTGGGGAAAAGCCACCTAAGAGGTTGGGCAGCTGCTGAGTTGCTTGGTCAGTAGAACCCAACTCACCTTCCCTCCTTGAGGATTCAGGATTCTTCATTCCACAAATAAATAGGCAAATGATAATGCAAAAAAGCAAGCCAATGCCATTCGCTGGCTTCTCTTCTCAGCTACCCAGGAATTCTCTTTTAAATATTTCCATACAATTCCCCAAAGAGAGTGAGAAAGGTGCTGTTTCCTCTTCTGTGTGCTTTGGGGAGCAGCGGTTGAACTGCCTTTCCCAGTATTTTATTTATTTATTCAAATTTGTAATAGCTGCCCAACACCAACAGACTCTGTGCAGCATATAAAACCCAAAAACCCATAAAAACAATTAAACCATAAAACACAGAGACAGCCCAGACTAAAATGATCTTAAGGGTAACACAGATCACAACAGGGCCCCCAAAATGCATTAATATATTAACCCCAAGCCTAGGACCAAAGCCAGGTTTTAAGACCTCCCCGGAACCCCAGGAGAGAGGGAGTCCTGGCTGGGGAATTCTGGGAGCTGAAGTCCACACATCTTAAACTTGCCAAGGCTGATAAACACTGACCTAGTCCAATCTCAGTTAGCATCATGAAGAGAAGCAATGCCTCACATCTCAATATAGTGTTTTTAACTGTTGTTAGCCACCCAGAGTCATGAATTTGAGATGGGCGGCCATATAAATGGAAATAATACATAAATAAAGGTCAATCATGGGTTGGTTTCATGGAGGAAGAAGACAGGAGAATATGATGATATGATATCTGGGGACACAGGCACATTTAATCTAAGTAGTAACTTCTATTAAAAATAAGTACAAGAATCCACATTCCCTTTAAATTGGACCCCAGGCTTAATTATACTTGGAGAGGCCTGCTGAAAGCAATGGGATTTGAGCTCATCATTATTACCTTGAAGCCCCACTGACTTCATTGAGCCTCTTCTGAAGTATGATTCAGTCTGGATCCAGTCTTTTCTTCCCTTCAGTGACGTTATCAGCAACATACAGGGTGAAAGTCAGGTTGCATAGGCCAGTCACAATATGCTTTATTTTTTTTTCCAGAGAAAATGTTACAGTACTTGGGAATGGTCAAAGGTCATGTGTCAAAAGAGTAAGAAGTGTTTAGAAGAAAATGGCAACCAATTCAAACATTTAATATAATTTTTACAATAAATTGTTTATGGGGCCTGACTTTGTCTACTGGGCTTTCATTACACTCTGTATATTTTAGCAAACGGACTCCGTTTCTTATTTGAAATGGGGAACAAGCCAGTTTTTTTTAAGGGGGGGGGGCTTTGCCCCTTGTCTCCTGCCCTGCACCAGCCAAATATAATTTCTGCATAGGAAAATCCAGAATAATCTCAATTCAAAACAATAAGACACTTGTACAGAGAGAAATAAACAAGATGAATGCCCCAATTCCAAACAAATATTATAAACATACTTTTAATTTGTGAAAAATAAACATTCTTTCTTAATTCAGTGGTTTAAGGCATCTTTAGGAAATGAAGCAAGTGCCCTCCAGAGATTTTGGGATTGCTATGGACTTGCTGGGAACTTTGGAAGCTGAAATTCCATTGCATCTGGAAGGGGACAGGCTGGAGAAAGAATATTCAGAGCACTTTCTAGCATAGACTACCTTAACCTTTGCAACAGCCCTATCAGGTAGACTAAAGTTGCTATTCTCATATTGCAAGCAAGGGGAGGAGGGTCCTGCACTCACTGCAAACTTGGAAAGGGGATTTCCTAGCACAGATTCACCTTCCTCTCCAAGGACAAATATATTCCCTTGAGCTTCTCCCACACTAGTAATGGGAACATGTGGTGACTGCTAACATGGAAGACAAACAGATACTTGTGTAAGTTTGCCTTCCAACCAATACAACCTTAAGATCCATTCCCAATCGACTGATACAAGAATTCAATGTTAAAAACGTTCAGCAGTTTCAAGTTAGTGCATGTCACATTTACAGCTTAAAATAAGTTCATGTCCATTTTGTAGGGAATTATTTTTTAAGCACATGTACATCCATTGCTTAGCTGAGCCCAGTAAAGGAATCAACCACATTTTAGCAAGCAAACTGGGGTGAAACCAGACCAAGAAGAGCGACAAAAGGATTTTTTTTTTTACCACCCTTCCCAACCTGGTGCTCCCTAGGCTGGAAATAAGGTGTGTGGAAGGGTCCAGATAGGAAACGTTAGTCCAGACAGTATGAACGACTACATTTCAAAAAATGGGCTTGGATCGGGAAAACCCGAGCACTAAAGAAAACAGTGCACCGAGCGAATGCTGAGCTGACATTCACTATTTAAAGGGACCTACGAAGGCCACGGAAGACTATTATGAAGAGCCTAATCCCGGTGCAAAGGGTTCCTGGTTTCAGCTTCCCAGCTGTAAAATGGGATGCACAAAACATTTCCCACTAGTACGGTCGCAAAAGCACAACGCAAAAGCACACTCTTCGAAACACAAGTTCCTACTGCGTCGAAATTCCCAGGTCATCTTTGACCATAAACGGCCGAGGATCAGGACAGGGTTATAGCAACCCAGAAGAAAGAAGGGGCTTTATTATGTCCAAACCCGTCCCCCTCCTCCCTGGAAAACAGGTTGCTGGTTTACTTACACTGCGGAGCGGCTCTGCGTTGGCACCTCTGTTTCCCGGACGCGCGCGCGCTCTTCTCGCCCTCCCTCTCCCCGACTGCCGACCGGGGCAGGGCTGGGTCCGTCCCGTCCCGTCCCCTCCAGGAATCCCGTCCCGCGCAAGGAGAAAAGGGTCCCCGCGAGGGAGACGCCGGCGAGCACACACAGGTGAGCGCGCTGGCTCTCTCCGCCCGTTGCGCTC